ATGCTCTTCTCTCCGTCCGCTGGCGGGTGCCATGGCGGACCCCCAGCCCTCCCACCGGGACACCGTTGATTCGTGCACAGTGGGAAAAGGAAACCTGTCTGCATTGGAGAAGGAGGAGGAGCAGGTGGAAGAGGAGGTGGCAGATGAGACGGAAGACGATGAGGAGGATGCGGAGAATGAGGTGAATGGGTGAATGAGAAGCAGGGAGCCGAAAGCGGAACCCAGAAAGGGGAGCCGTGCACAGCGGAGGTGCAGTAGGAAGTGGCGGATGATCAGGAGGAGCCCGAACAGGACGAGGAAGGAGGAGGAGGAGGAAGAGGCGGAGGAGGAGGAGGAGGAGGAGGAGGAGGAGGAAGAGCAGCAGGAGCAGGAGCACAAGTGGAGGGAGTGGGAGGAGCGGGAGCCCCAGGGAAAGGCGGATCAGCGGAAAGGAGCGGGGCGACAGCGATGAGAAAGGAGTCGGATTCAGAAATGTGGTCCTCGCTTGGGCGAAAAGCCACTCGGAGAAACGGGAGCAACACAACGATCCTAAAACGAGGCTCCCGCTGCAGCGGGAACAGCGTCTGAAACACCGAGAGAACTCCGATGTGACGAAAACACACATATTATGGTGAATCAATGCTTGAACTCCTGCGTAAAACTCACACGGAAAGGCCGGGATATTTCCAGTACGTAGTCGAAGGAGAGAGGACATTAGTATTCATAGTAAGCAGCTGTGGTGGATGAGGAGGACATGCCAAGGGAGGAGGAGAAGAGCAAGGAAGCGTGAGATGGGAAGATATCCAGAACATCGCTGCCATGTCGCCACAAGCAGCCCCCAGTCCGCGCGGATTCAATGGGTGGGCGCTGGACCCCCACTCTCCTCCCGCACCCCTGGCTGCGCTTCCAGCGACGCCCCCGTTGCGTTCCGCGCGCTGGGGAGAGGAGGACGAGCAGGAGGAGGAGGAGGAGGAGGAGGAGGAGGAGGACGAGCAGGAGGAGGAGGAGGAGGAGGAGGAGGAGGAGGGCCAAGCGCCGACTCGAGAAAAAAAAAAAGACGCGCGGACCGCGGACGGTGTACGCCTGGAACGCCCAGGAACCCGCGCGTGGCCCAGGCCTGGTGCCCTGGACGCCGCCTGGCCTCTTGAAGGAGCCCCAGGACACACAAATAAATACACACAAATAAAAAACACCCCATATTGTCCCATGTTTTCTTGATTTTCGTCTTCCCCCCCACTTCCCATATTTTCCCATATTTTCCTGGGGATCGACGATTAATTGTGTCTGTGTGTTTCTTTCCCTCCTGACTTCTGGGTCCCAGGCGCGGTCCGCTGCCGCGCTCGGGAGCCACCCTGCAGAGCCTGCGGCCGATCGGTCGGCCGCCTCACCGATGCGGACTTGCGCCGGAGGGGCAACGATGCTGAAGGCCAGGAGAGCCGAAGACGTGCACCCTGCGTCCCTCAGTATGGTTCTGGGCCCCCGGACGGCAGACACGTACCCCCTGGCCTACAGGCACCCTCTCCCCGGACTACGGGTACCCCTCCCCCGGACGACGCCCCCCCCCCCCCCCCAGACCACAGGTACCCCTCCCCTGGTCTGCAGGTCCCCCGGAACCATTGAGGGACAGAGCGTATCACAAGGGGCCCCTTTGGCCTCGCGGCGGCCACACCGGGGCGCGTTCGCGCTCTCGAGGCCATAACGGGGCTCTCGATTGATTGCTCACCGTGGCTGGCTGTGGCGGGCTGGAGCTACAAACCCTCGCGCTTGCTGTTTGCTTCCACGTGCGGAGGATCCGCGCTCAGCAACACCCCGCCCGCCTCGTGGCAGACGCTTTTTGCCGGACCCTGCCAGGCAAGCATACCTCTCAGATGTGTCTGGTCCTGTCCGGAGGGGCAAAGTCCCCGCCATAATTGGTCATCGGGGAAATTGCACACGGAGCGTCCCGTTGCAAGGCCGCCCCAGTGGCTACCGTCTGCAGCAAAACTTACAGGTGTGCCGTCACCGCCAGTGTGTTCCATTCCAAAACTGCCTACAGCTGTCCGACATGTCGGAGCTGGGCCAAGTTGGTTTGGCACCACGCAGCAATGGGGGGGCAATCAACGGGGGGGCGAGGAAAGGTGCACCTCTCGTGCAGCTTCGGGGTCCTGTGGGCCCTCTTTGAGGCCTTTCTCTTGAAGCCCCAAATCCTCTCCCCCGTGTGGCGGCTTCCGGTAACCCTGAACCCAAACAAACGTTTCCATCTCTTGGAGGGCAACCTGTCCTCGATCCTTGAAAGGAAGTCTTTTTTGAAGCGCCCCATGTATCGCCCCGACCCGATACGCAACGCCCGATCTTCCCCATCCCCTCGCCCTTCCGGAAGTCTCTGGAAGGAAGCCTCTGCGGTCCAGAGGGTCCCCAGAACCCAAACCAAGGCATCCAGAAGCCCGAGGTCGTAATGTAGAAACAATACTACACAACAGGGTGTGCCATGATGCCATGTTTCTGTACGCGGCACGCCACTGCCTCAAGGGCCCTGAACGGCGATGGAAGCAACATGCATGCAAGCATGGAGGCAACAGCAGGGGGGAAGAGGAGCACAAGACCAAGAGGAAAAACGAAAAGAGGATTGCAATGCAACTCCACACAAAAAAACGTTCACAAACATATCTACATCCTCGAATATCTATCCTCCACATCCTCCGCATCCGCTTCCAACAACAAACGGTCCCTGGACAAAACCTAGGGGCGGGCAGGGAGGAGAGCGAATGGGCGGGGAGGGAGAGAATAGGATGAATGGGGAGAAGGAGGAGGCGGAGGAGGAGAAGGATGAGGAGGAGCAAGAGGAGGACGAGGAGGAGAAGCGAAGGAGGAGGAGGAGGAGGAGGAGGAGGAGGAGGAGGAGGAGGAGGAGGAGGAGGAGGAGGGGAGCGTCCAGAGCATACAAATTCGAGGCGGATCCATCCGCGGTGACGAGCACGCTCCAGGGCGTGCATAGAAGGAGAGAGAGAGAGAGAGAGAAACAAATAAAAGCAAAGAGAGAGAGAGAGAGAAAGGGAAAGAGGGAGATACTAGGGCCTGCAGTGACGTCGAGACCCGAGCCTCGACCCCTCGATCCTCGAACCAGGACGGACACACGAATCGGCGTCGCTCCGCGGAGGGCGGTGCGTGGGCGGGGGAGAGGAAGGCAGGCGCACGCCTCGGGCCCTCCGCTCGAGGCGCACCTGGGGCCCTCCAGGGGCCCGCGCTTCTCTGCAGCCCCCGCGCTGCCTCCCCCGTGCGTTGGCCCCCCCCCCCCCCCCCCGGGGGGCTCGACGCCCCCGAAGCGCATCGCTCCCCGGAGGTCCGCGCGGACTTCTCCCTCGAGGGCGGCGCCCGGCCTCCGCCCCCCCTTCCCGGCGTCAGGTCGGGCACGTCCCCCCACACTGGCGGATGTTTGACGAACATGTTAAAAACTCCAAACACGTGCAGACATCCTCAAACACGACAGAAACATCACCCCGACGCTTTGTAGACTGTGTTTGAATGAATATTCGTCCTGTAGGGGGGCCAGGCCCGACTCGACCTTCGCGCGCGGAGCGCGCCAGGGGCGGCGCCAGGGGAGCCGCCGGGGGGCCCGACGCCAACCCCCGAAATCCGCGCGGATCTTCGAGAAGGCACACCTGCGCCGACGTTTGCGGTTCGGACGGCGACAACCCTTCGGGGAGAAACGCGGCACGGATTCGGGGGACTCGGGTTGGCCTCACCGGGCCGTCAACAGGAGTGACGAGGCCCGACTTGAAATTGGACGCGAGCTCCTGCTGCAAACATCTCACGAAAACTGGACCGTCGAAATCCACGAACGGCTCGCCAAACCGCGTCGGCAAACCCGAGGTCTGCCGCACTCGAGTCTTACGTATGCCCGACCAAGAAATCCAATTTATCGGAGGGCCGCGCGGATGTCTCGGAACGACGCTGACCCCTCCCCCTGGCGCGCGGAGCGCGCCAGGGGCAGCGCTGAAGTGCCGCCAGGGGGGCTTGACGCCAGCTCAAGAAATCCGCGCGGACCTTTGATAAATCATGATTGTGCCGTTGATTGTTCTTCGAACGACGTCAACCCTGTGCGGCGAGCCTGGGGGGAAAGCCGGCCTTCTGAGAGATTTCTAAATCTTCCTCGAAGACACAGGAAAAAACTCTCAGGAAGTACGAGGGCTCCTGGGAAGTCCCGCCGCCGTCTGAGAAGGCCTTTTCCTTCTCGCTTCCCCCCCTCGCTCGTCTCCGAAGAAACAAAACTCTAGCTTTTTCGGAGGTCCGCGCGGATGTCTCGGATAGGTGCTGGACCCCCTCCCTCCATGGCGCGCGGAGCGCGCCGAGGGCGGCGCCGGAGGCGCCGCCAGGGGCCCTGACGCCGACTCAAGAAATCAGCGCGGATCTGCGAAAAGTGCTATGATGCCGCTGTTTGTTCTTCGAACGACCACAATCTCAGGGACTGCTAAAGGTGCCCTTGGCCCAAGGTGCCCCCAATGTTTCGCCCCATCTTGGAGCCCCTGGGGCCCCTTGGGCCGCGTGAGGGGTGCTCTACGAGGCCATGGGGGCCTCCTTGGAAATCCTGGGGTTGCCGTGGGCCAGGGGTACTTTTAGCAACGCCGGACAATAGAGGCCTCCTAGATGGGGTCAGAAGAGATGGGGTCGGAGGATGGCAGCGCATCCCCGATACATCGGCGACGCATCTGCGACGTCGGCGATGCATCAGCGACGTCGGCGTGGGGAAAACACGGGCTCCACATCGAGCCGCGTCGCCGATGCATCGCCGATGCGACGCGATCCCCCGACCCCATCCACTCGAACCCCACCTGGGAGGCCCAGAGACAATCTCGGCGGTGGACAAACCTCCCTTCAGTAGACCTCCCCTTAGTGAAAACGACCTGGGACCGAAACCGACGGACCTGGACCCGCAAAAATGACAGACGCGACGCCCTCTCGCGAACCGAAAACGGCCAGTTCCTTCATCGACGTGTCAGGGTAGGAGGTCTGTCCATCCCCGACAATCCTTCCCCTCCGCGCACCAGGCTGCGACAGCCCCAGCTGGGAGAAGGAGGAGGGCTGCGGCGGCTGCGGGGGCGGCTGCTGCTGCGGCACCTGCGGGGGGGGGGGGGGAGGGGTGCGCGGCGGCCTCGCCCCGGCGGCCTCGCGAAGAGAGGTCCGGACTACAGGCCGGATCGGGCCGGTGGAGCGTCGACCAAAAATGGGCTTCGCGCGAGACGACACAGCGTCATGCTGCTCCCATCGTGCTTGAGGGACACACCCCAAAAATCATCCCGAGCACCCGGGGAAGTATCGAAACGGTGTCGAGCGAGTACTATCGCCTCCCAGGGCGCGACGCGTCAAGACCCTGCAGTCTGGGTACTTTCTTGGTGCTCGAAGCTCTCTCTGGTGATCCAGGCCACAGCAGGTTGGAGCATCATGAACTAAACATAGCGACCCTACGCGGTGGCTTACGTACGCGGGCCGCCAGCGCGACACGCCACGCTGGAAGCGAGGGCGCTGGCGCGTGACCTTACGCGAGCAGCTTGCGCGCCGACGCCGGTGAAGACGACCCCCTTTTTGGCGTCGCCCCATTGGGCCCAGGATCAAAACAGACTCATCCGCACTGAACCCGATTTCACGGGACTATCCACTGGTCGGGGACCTAGGTAGGATGACGCGGGTTGGTCAGGCATGCCAGATCCCGCAGGCTCCCGCAGGGCCCTGCACCCAGTCCGGAGCCAGACCCCCCCTCCCATCCCCTCCCCCTTCCGCCCAATGTCGAAACGCCAATACAAAAACGATCACATAGGGCCCTCTGAGCCGGGACGGGACCTCGCAGGATACACCAGGGCAGCGTGGCGCGTCCGAGGAAACTGCAATCCTGGGCCGGCACATTCCCTTCGTCTGCGGCGAAACGGGGCAATGCGCACCAGCAAACGAGCGCAGCAGGGGCTCTATACTGAGCTAACTGCCCGGCGTGCGAGCGCGGAAGGAGGCACCGTGGGCCGACACGATCGCCACCCTTCGCCCTCCCCGGGCGGAATCGTCGAGGCCCTGGCCTGCGGTGCTCTTAAGCTCCTGGGGTGCCCCCGCTCACGAGCCGCGTCGGCATGCGGCTCCTGGGAGGCTCGACTCAGCATCGGCGCCGGCACGTCCGTGGCAGAGAGCCGGCGCCACCTGACACGGTCCCATTTGATCGGGGCCGTGAGACGTGGGTCAACAGGGCTCATTTCGATTCCTCCGAGTCAATTCGATTCGCTTTCGATGGCTTCCGATTCCGATGCGATTTGACTTGGCATTCCGAATTGGATTCCGGTTTCTGGTTGGACGCATACAGGCCTGCCGACTTCCGCCGGGTCGACTTTTCCCGACTCGGCTGCCGATTTCCGCCAGTCCGATTCATTTCGACTGTCGATCCGATTTAACGATTCGACTTATGGGCTCTCCTGGGTGAATGCAGACGGGGGTCAGTCAGAGCGGCGGATCTTGCAGGGTCCTGCGGAGCCACTCTGCTTCATGCGACTGCTTGCCACAGTGCGTCTTAGGGGGGAGGCTGCACCTGCTCGAAGCAGGCACCCCAAACGGCCAAGACCTACTCCACGGGGTGGGGGATGGGGGGATGCGAGGGCCCGCACCGATCGGCAAAGCAGTGAATAAGAAAACGATCACAATATCGTCGGGCGCGCCACGCTGCCCCGGTGTATCATGCGAGGTCCCAGCTCCAGAGGGCCTTACTCATAGGGACTCGTGAGCGGCGGCCCCAGGACCCCGCGGCCGCTCCGCGCAGTCCGCGCGGGGCTCCGACCAAGGCCGCGTGCACGTCGACGCCTGCTTCCCCGAGGATGTTCCTCGCTTGCGTGAACCCGCGCTTGGAGGATCGCGCCACGTCTCCAGAAGTACCCCTGGCCGAAGGTACCCCCAGGATTCTCGGGGTGGCCCAGGCGGCCTCCAGAACACCCCTCACGAGGCCCAGAGGGCCCCAGGAGCTCCAAAACGAAGCGGAATGCTGGGGGCACCTTGGGCCAGGGGCACTTCTAGCAACACCCGAACATCGCGCATGCATCGACGACGCGTCGCGACCTGGGCCCCGCTCTTCGCCACCTCGCCGTCGCCGCTGCACCAGGGAGCAGCGCCCCCCGCCGGCGCCGTTCCTTGGCGCAGCCTCGGCGCGCGGAGCACGCCAGGGAGGGGGGGCCGAGCGCCGCTCCGAGGAATCCGCGCCTCTGCTGAGGGGAAGGACGGGGTCTCCAAGATGGCCGACACGGCAGAGGTTGAGCAGGGACCGACCGTCCCGGCATTCCTATTGTCCTACCACGAAGTGCTCTTAGAACCCAGACCCAGAAATGTTCCAAGAACAGAAACACTGTCCTGATAACAGTAACCCGATGTGTGAAACCGAGACTGCCTCAACCAGAAATGCTCTAAGCACAGCTCGTGCAAACCACAAAAGGCTCTCAGAGCATTGTTTGGTAGGGCCACAGGCGAGCCAGGACGCCTCGCCACTGCTTGGAAGTGGGCACCGTGCGCGGCGGCAGGAGGGCGCGCCACCGAAGGCCCCCGAGCAGAGCCGGCGGCTCCGGGCAGCCTTCGCCGCCCGGCGGAGGAGCCTTCGGAGGCGCTTCCGCTCCTCGGTTGGTGCCCCCGTCGCTGAAGCGGCTCGAGGGGCAACGACAGGGGGGAAGGGCCTTAGGGGGGGGGAGGCATCGACCCGGAGTCGGCGGCACATCGCCGACAGATCGGCGGTGAGCCACCGACAGCGAAGCCGCACCCTCCTGGGCAGGCCGGGGCGATCGAGCCCCCGTCGGCGATGAATGGGCGATTGGGGGTCGGCGCTTCCCCCCGCATGCTCAAGTCCGGGATTTTCGACGAAAAATGCAAAAAATACCCAAAATACTCCGAAAAGGTCAGAAAATAGTCAAAAAAGAGTCCCCAGACTATTTTTGGACTTATTTTGGATTATCTTTGGGGTATGTTCTATTTTTCGTTGACTATCCCCCTGTAGGGGGACAGGCCCGACTGAACCGTATGTAAAACAGGGCTAAGATCGGGATAAATCGTTCCAGAGCGTTCCGGAGCGCTCTCAGAGCGTTCCGGAACGCTCTGGAGCGGCCGCGGCGCCCAATACATCCTCCAAACCCACCGATTCTCAGAGATTTCGAGTTATCCCGATCCGATTTTGTCCCGATCTTCGCGTCGGTTGAGTATGGCCCATCCCCCCATATCTCTGCCCCCGACGGCGGACCAGAGGGGGAGGACGACAGCCGGGGCACGGCGGGGGAGCACTATGGTGCCCGCTTCTGCCTCCCGGCGCGCGCAGTGAAAAAGCTCGTTCTCCTCGCCTCCGCGCGCCTCTCCCCAGCGCCGGGCAGACAGTGTGGCTGGCTGCAGGGCAGTTTTTTTAACACATGGGATTAACATATGGGATTTTTCATACATGACGAATTAATGAATGAATGTATGCATGAACTCATCGTTGTTATTAATACTGAATGCCTGCATTTATGATACATGATCCGCACGCGGAGCATGCATTAAAAACGGCACTGTAGCGGTGTGGTCTGGATTACGGTTTCCGCGACAGTTCGTCTGTGATGCGCACGCTGGCAGAGCACACGGGATTCATGTAAAACAAGTGAGGATGCTCACAGATCAGCCCCGCTTGCAGTGTCGTGTCGCACCACGTCGTTACGGGCCGCAGGGTTCGCCCGACTTCGGATGCTGTCCTCACCGCACCTTTTTCTATTACGCGTCGTCATGCTTCTCGGTGTGTCTTTCCTCTTCTTCGGGGGCGCGCAAACATGGATTAGCGATCCATGGATTTGGGGCGCGGTCGCCAAATCCATGGATCGGGGGAGGTGCCCTCCCCCAAATGTGGCTGGCGCTGCCTCGGTCGGCGGCGATAATCAGCGATTTCCAATAGAAACGGGACCCGTCGCTAATCCACGCCCTCTTGATCCATGTTTGCGATCGCCTGACTCCTGCCCCTCTCAGCCGCCTTCCGCTTTCCCCCTGATCCTCTTTCTACGGATCCCCTTGAGGCGAAGGTGTGCACGAGTGCCCACGGATGTCGCCACTGAAGGTCCATGGGAGGAACATCACGTAGCCTCGACTCTATGAGGGAGGCGTCGTGACCGAAACTGTGCCCGAAGATCGGCCTGAGTGTAACCGAAACTGGCGCCCGAAAATTTCCCACCGCGCCCGAGGTTGACCAAAACGTTTGGTTCGAAGCCGAGGCGATTTTCGATTCCGGTCACACTTTCGGTCACGCAACGTTCTCGGTCACAACTTCGGGCACGTTCTCTCACTCATGTTCTCCTCTCGGACACCACTCCTTGTCTCGGACAACAGGGGCCGGCTGCCACGGGGAACGCGAAAGACGGCGGAAGGCGGCAGGACGAGGACGAGGCGGACGCCGAGGGGACCCGGGCGGATGGGGGGAAGGCGGGGGTGGGGGGGGGCAGCGGGGGCCGCTGGCAGAGGCCCGAGGCGCGTCCAGGAGGGGGGGGCGTCCGAGAGGAGGGCGGGTAGCAACCGTGGCGCGGACGAGGTGGGGGGGAGGGGAGGAGAGGAGGAGGAGGAGGAGGTGGGGGGGAGGAGGAGGAGGAGGGAGGAGGAGGAGGAGGAGGAGGAGGAGAGGAGGAGGAGGAGGAGGAGGAGGAGGAGGAGGAGGAGGAGAGAGGAGGAGGAGGAGGAGGAGGAGGAGGGAGGAGGAGGAGGAGGAGGGGAGGAGGAGGAGGAGGAGGAGGAGGAGGAGGAGGAGGGCAGGGGACGCCACTCGGCGGGGAGCGAGGGGCGGAGGCGAGAGGGAGAGGGGCGGAGACGACCCGCCCCACGCCCCCCCCCTTCGGAGCGCCCTCGGCTGGAAAGCCGCCCGAAAACCTCGGACCTCGAACCTCGGACCCCCCCCCCTGGCCATCCCTGAGATCCAACGGCGCAACAAACATTGAGACATCATGGAGAATCACGACAGGCGCCCCAGACCCCACCTTTCTGCGCCATGCTCCGAGCCGCACCGATCTGCGAGGGTCCAGGGCCCGAGGCCAGACGACAACGCCCGGCAGACTCCGTTTTAGCAGCCGCGGGTTTGGCAGCCGTCGCCCGGCTCCTGAATCACCCCCCTCCTCGGTGCTTCTAGAGGCCTCCTAGATGGGGTCGGGGTAGACGGGGCCGGAGGATCGCGCCGCATCGCCGATGCATCGGCGATGCATCGGTCGTGCATCGCGATGCACTGGCGATGCATCGGCGCCGTGGGCTAGGCATCGGCGACGCCAGCGTATAGAAAAGCGGGCTCCACATCGCCGATGCATCGGCGATGCGTCGGCGAGCCTCGTGAAAGATGCTTGAGAATCTCTCCTCCTCCTCCTCCTCCTTCCTCCTCCTCCTCCTCCTCCTCCTCCTCCTCCTCCCACCGCATCGGCGATGCCTCGACCCGCATCGGCGATGCATCGGCGATGCAGCGATGCATCGGCGAGCCTCGTGAGAGATGTTTCCGGCCCACGGATGCAGCCCTTCCTGGGCGCGCCAGACTGCCCGGGATTGCTCGCACGGGGTCCCCGCTCAGGCAGGGCCCCATCGATCTATCCATCTAGCTATCTATCGATCGATCTATCGACATATCGATCTATATATATATATCGATATATCTATCCATCTTTCCATGTAAATATATAAGTGAATGTATATATATAGAGAGAGGGAGAAAGGCACTCGCGAGCGGCGGGCTCCCGGACCCCGCGACCCAGCCTCCTGGGGACGGGCCTGCCGTCCCGGGCAAACTCTGCTGATGGTGCGGGGGAGGGGGGGCCCGAGGAGGAGGAGGAGCAGGAGGAGGAGGAGGACGAGGAGGAGGAGGAGGAGGACGAGGAGAAGGAAGAGGAGGAGGAGGAGGAGGAGGAGGAGGAGGAGGAGGAGGAAGGAAGAGGAGGAAGAGGAGGAGGAGGAGGAGGAGGAGGAGGAGGGAGAGGAGGAGGAGGAGGAGGAGGAGGAGGAGGAGGAGGAGGAGGAAGAAGGGCTGGCGAGTGGCCGATGTTCCTCGTGGCCGGCAGGGGGGGGGGCTGGAGCGGCAGCGGTGGCCGCAGCGGCCAGCGGGGGCCACGCGGCGCCAGGCCGCTGAACCGCTTCAGCGCGTCTGTGGCCGACTTGACCAGCGCCTGCGGGCGGAAATACAATGTACATGTATGATAAGACAGCTTACTTGACGGCATGTTGGGGCGCATGATTTGTTGTCTATCTTCGAAGATTCCCAGGTGTTCCACAGCTTCCGAGGGTCCCTGGAGCCATTGGAGAACAAGACATGTCCGTGGGGCACGGGCTGGCAGGCCGAACTCTTCTGCGATGTGCATTCCTGTAGGATGAATTCGGCGGGCCCCCCTTGTGGGGTCGAACTGGGGTTGCGCTGACAACGTTGTGGCGTAATGGAAAGCGTTGCGCTCGTCAGAACCATGGAGGCCGTGGATACACGTGTCCGCCAATGTGCCGCCGGGCACGGAGTGGGCTCGACCTCAGGTCCTTTGCCAAATCCCGGGAGCCTCAGTCCTCACTCCTGAGGGCCCGAAGCCCAAATTGCGAAACCTCCTGGGGCCTCTCGCGTATGGTCGGGGAGGTGTCGCGTCTCTCAGCGAGACTCGTTCGGGCCCACGAGGGCCTAAGGACGGGCCAAGAGAGCACCACGAGGCACCCACGACGGTCCAAGAGGACCCCTGGTCACCGGAAGATCGTTCCAAGACGCTCCAGATGGCCTCAAGACGGCTCACGAGGCCTCCAAGACGCCCCAAGAGACCTCCCCTAAGAGGGCCCAAGACGCAAAACATCTTGAACGTTCCGTTGGTTTTTGATGGATGTTGAGTGTTCTCGCCTTCTCGGCTGTCAGACGCTCCAAGACGGCCCAAGAGGCCCCCATGACGGCCCAAGCGGCCTCCAAGAGGGCCCCAAGACGGTCCAAGAGCGCCCCAAGACGGCTCAAGAGGCGCCCAGCGACGGACCAAGAGGGCCCCAAGAGAAGCCCCAAAAAGGGAGCACGAACCGAAACCTGAGCCTTCCGCCCCAAGAGGCCCCAAGGAGTCCCCAGGAGGCGCCCAAGAGGCCCCAAGAGGCCCCTGGCCTCTAAAGGGGCCCCAAGAGGCCTTCAAGATGCTTCAAGAGGCCCAAAAATCTGCCCTCAGTGGACTTTAAACTGCCTCCAAAAGGCCCCCGAGACGCCCAGAACGAGATCCCAATGAACATCCAATTTGGCTTCGCACTGTGGTGGGATGGGCCGAACGACATTCGACCTGCTTGGCACGGGGACGGGCAGCGCGTGTACTTTGTGAGGGCGCGAGGTCGCTGGCTGAATGGCTTGGAGCCCTGCTGGTGTTAAGGCTTTAGGTGGACATACAGAAATCTAGCAACAAAAACCTTGCGAAAGTCAGTGCATCTGGGCCTTCCTGGGGATTCTTTTCGGGCTAGTTTGGGTCGCCTTGGGGCCACCGTGGGCCGTCCTGGGGCCCTCTTGGATAGTCTTGGGGGGGCTTGGGCCGTCTTGGACCCCTCTCGGGGCCATCTTGGGGACTTCCTGCGGCCCTCTTGGGGCTCGCTCGAGAACCTTTTGGGGGCCCTCCGGGGCCTCTCGTGGGTTTCGTGGGGGCTCTTTTGAGCAGTCGTGGGGCACATTTGGGCCGTCTTGGGGCCCTCTTTGCGGGAAAGATCTGTATCCATATCCAGTGCGTCTTGCACTTCTTGGAAGGGGCGCCACAAGGCCGAGGCGCACTGGATATGGATAAAGATCGAGCCTCAGGGGGTAAATTTATCCATATCCAGTGCGCCTCAGAGTTCTGTGGAAGAGAGCCCGAAACTCCATACTGCAATGGATATGGATAGAAAAATTGCCCGCACTCTTGGGGACTTCCTGAGTCGTCTTGGGGCGGTCCTGGCAGCCTCTTGGGCCGTCCTGGACGCTGTTCCGACCAGATGAGCGAACGTGCTAAAGATGCACGTTTTCCCAAGGGTATGGGGCGGTTTTGACCATTCGGGGTCTTTTGGGGGGCCTCATGGAGCGTCTCGAGAACCTTGAGACGATCTTGGGCCCTCTTGGGGCGATGTTGAGCCGCCTTCGAGCCCTTCGTGGGCCTCCCAGAAAAGCCATCGTGGAGGTTCTGCGAGGCCGTCTCGGGAGCGTCCTGGGCCGTCGTGGGGCTCTTTTGGGCGCTCCTGGGGCTGACGTGGGCCGTCTTGGACCGGAAATGGCCAAACATTGGGGCCATAGCTACCCAAACCCCCCTTCGGATCACGAAAAACTCGCGCCGGGAGGTTTTTCGCGAACTTCGGCCTTTGGGGGCCCTTACCCGGCGTCGGGACCGTTGAAGAAAGGCTCAGGATGAAGAGCCAGTCCTCCCGGGTGAGGGATCCAGACCTTGGGTGGTCGACGTTGCTAGAAGGAAAAAAACTATGCACATACACCAATTCTGGCCAGGCCCATCCTGAGCCCAGGATCGGTGCATACGCCCTCCTGCCTTGGCCAGGAAGGCATATGCACCGATCCTGGGTCAAGGATGGGCCTTGCCAGGGTCGGTGCATGTGCATAATTATCTTCGCCCGAGTTGTGCAACATCCACGACGTCGAAGGTCTGGGTATATTTCTCCCGACCAGCGCATCGCGACGCTGCGCGCGCTTTTTCCGTCATCACTGGGCGCCAGCCCTGCCTTCCCCCCCTCCTCACACTCCCCGTGCGTTACGCGACTTCTGCCGACGAGAACCTCGCGACGCGACGCGCGCTTTCCGTCAGACGGGCGGGCAATCCTGGATCGCGTGTCACAGCGGCGGCCCCGGCGACACTCCGTGCCCTGCAAACGCACGGCGTGTCGCTCCGCTCCGCGGGGCGGGAGGCTCGGACAACGCTCGGGGCGCGGACGCCTCGGGACCGGCGTCTCGCGGACGGCGCCTCGCGCCGGGACGCGCTGGGCCGGCACCGGCGGCGCGACGTTGCCTTCCCTCGCAGAACACGGCAGGAGGCCATCCGCACGGGCGCTCGCAGTCAGGGGGGGGGGGACGCTCGACGAGCGAGTTGCCCGGAGGCGCGAGTGGGGAAGGAGGGGGGGCTGCCGCGGAGAGGGCGGCAAAACCGGCGGCGCGACACGCCATCCCCCAAAACTCCGCGACCGCGCAGCAGAGGTTGATTCGGTCGGGCACGTCCGCCTACAGGCCCATCTTTCAGGACAAATAAGAAGAGACTCGAAAAGCATTCAAAGATTATCAAACAATGCTAGAACAAGCGTCCCCACACTATTTCCTTACTATTTATGGATATTCCTCCTGCAGAGGGACAGGCTCGCCTCGAAGCAAAGGGGGCGAGGCCTAGGTCGGGAAGGCCCTCCCTGCAGGCGGATCCTGGGCGAAAACTTGAAAAAATACAAACGTACACCAGCATAGTCCAGAAAGAATAAAAAAAAATAGTCCCCGAAGTATTTTTTGACGATTTCGGAATCTTCCTCCTGCAGAGGGACGGGCCCGACTCGAAGCAAGAGGGGGCGAGGCTTGGGTTGGGCGCGCCCCCCCCCTGCAGGCGGATCTTGGGCGAAAGCTGAAAAAAAAAAACCAAACATGCACCAACATAGTCAAGAGGTAACCAAAAAATAGCCCCCGAACTATTTTTGGACGATTTCTGGATACTCCTGCAGATGGGGCGGGCCCGACTCGAAGCAAGAGTGGGCGAGGCCTAGGTCGGGCGTGCCCCCCCCTGCAGGCGGATCCTGGGCGAAAGCTGAAAAAATACCCCAAACGTGCACCAACATAGTCCAGAGAGAACCAAAACATAGCCCCCGAAGCATTTTTGGACGATCTCGGAATACTCCCCCTGCAGAGGGACGGGCCCGACTCGAAGCAAGAGGGGGCGAGGCCTAGGTCGGGCGTGCCCCCCTGCAGGCGGATGCTGGGCGAAAGCTGAAAAAGTACCCCAAACGTGCACCAACATAGTCGAGAGAGAACCAAAAAATGGTCCCCAGACTATTTTTTAACGATCTCTGGATATTCCCCCTGCAGAGGGACGGGCCCGGCTCGAAGCAAGAGGGGGCGAGGCCTAGGTCGGGCGTGCCCCCCCCCCCCTGCAGGCGGATCTTGGCCGAAAAATGACAAATACCCCAAACCAAAAATGCACCCTCATAGTCGAGAAATAACAAAAATGGTCCCCAGACTGTTTTTGTGTCCCCAAACATGCACCAAAATAGTCGAGAGATCATCAAAACATAGCCCCCAAACTATGTCCTGACGATTTCGGGACACTTCCTCCTGCAGAGGGACGGGGCCCGACTCGAAGCAAACGGGGGGGGGCGAGGCCGAGGCCCGCGCCGATAGAGAAGACCGCACGGCGCGAGGGCCCTCCGCCGCGCGCTCGGCACCCCCCCCCCCGGGGCCCCCCCTGCCGGGCCCCCGGGGGGCGTCCGGGGCCGCCCGGGGGGAAGTAGGGCCCGTCTGTGCCGCAGTGGCGAGGCGTCCCTGGCGTGCCCAGTAGCCCTACCAAACAATGTTCGAAGAACCTCTCGTAGTTTCCCGTGCCTGGCTCCCCCCCCCCCCTGGGCGCCCCCTGCCGGGCCCGCGGGGAGCGTCCAGGGCCGCTCGGAGGGAAGTCGAGCCCGTCTGTGCAGCAGTGGCGAGGCGTCCACGGCGTGCCTATAGTAGGGGGGCAAAACAAACCTGCCTCGCTTTTGACCACCCTCGCTTCCAAGAGGTACCAAGCGATGCCAAACCACGGCCTGCACTGGTCAGGCCGCTTGACGAGGAGGCGCGTGGTATGACTTGGTTCTGCCTGGAAGCGAAAGCGGGGTAGGTAATTCACGCTCTGATATAGTCCGACCAAACAATGTTCGAAGAACCTGTTGTGGTTCCCACGAAATGTTCTTCGAACATTTCTGGTTGGGACTGTCCTGTTTTATCACATCGGGTTCCTGTTCTGAGAACACTGTCTTTGTTCTTGGAACAGATTGGGGTTCTACGAACATTTCGTGGGAGGACTATAGGAATGCCCGGACGATCGGTCCCTGCTCAAAGTCTAGGGTTAGCTCAGGTCGGGCCTGCCGTCCTACAGGCGGATTTGGGAAATATCAAAGGTAGGCAAAACAAACCAAAAATAGTCAAACGGGCAGGAGACACCGCCACCGGTCTATTTCTTTAAACTGTTCTGGAACACTCCTCCTGTAGAGGGACCTGCCAAACCCAAGTCTGGGGGAGCGGGTCCAGACCTCTGGGGGCCAACGCTGCGAAAAGGGCGCGCGCACGCGATGTCGAGGGGTCTGGGTAGGGGGGCCACACGTGGACCCTGCCCCTGCCCCCCACGATTCGAGGGGGAAGGTGGGGCTCACTTCCTTCGGGAGCTCCCGAGCGCAGTGAACCCCACCCTCCCCTTCAGAAATCGTGGGCGGTAGGGGTAGGGTCCACATGTGCCCCCCCCCCCCCTACTGCGGGCGAGGGGGAAGGATCGGGGATCTTCTGACCCGGGTCAATCCAGACCTGGGTCAGTCAGGCCTAATCTCGCAAGATCCTGCAAAACCCTGCGCCCAAATCCGGGTCAATGCGAAGGATCCTGCAGGATCCTGCAGGATCCTGCACCCAAACCCGGGACAATGCGACCCTGGCCCTGCAGGATCCTGCAAGATCAAGATCGGGCGCTCTGGCTGACCCCCGTTTGCATCGACCCCCGTTTCTTGAGCCCCGAAGGGAGGCAGCGGCACGAGGGCAGCCGGCCAGCCAGGATGGCAGGGGGGCAACCCCAGCACGCGCCGCCGCCCCCCCCCCCGCGGAGATGGGAGGGGGGCAACCCCGGCACGCGCCGCCGCCCCCCTCCCCCTTGAGACCTCCGAGAGCGAGCGCCTGGGGAGGCACGGGCAGCTCTGGCCGTGTGGAGGCCATGACAGTGGACGTCCTCACAATCCCACCATTGAATTAAGAATGTGTTCAAAATGTGTAGAACGTGTTCTAAAAATATTTCAAGCATGTTTTGGACATACTTAAAACATGTTTGACACATGTTTTAGACATCTGAACATGATTTGGCAGCATTCTTCCTCTCCACTCGGGGGGCCTGTTGAGGGTACAATCGGACCTAGGACGGAAGAACATCCTTGAAGATCGTTCGAGGGTACCCTCCCTCAGGATGCACAAGAACATCCAACGAACACGAACAACCTCCCCGAACCGACCTCGATATTATATCTGGGGGGGTTGTCTGTGCGCAGCCCGAGGCCATCCCACCCCTTTTCCGCCCGTGAATTCTCGGGTGGGGAGATGGCGTGCGCTGCACGCCTGTCCCCGCATGGGCATGTGCATGGACAAGCGTGCGACGAGCACGGGCATGAAGATGTGAGCGCTCTGGTGTCTTTTCCGTCACGATCTGAATAGCACTGCTATTGGAGCCGCAATGCGAGCTGATAGGTTAGATGTCAGAGGTTTGTTGGAAGGCGCGCTTGTGGTTGACCAACAAAAGCTATCCAGGCGATGGACCTAACAACATGCAATTGTAAGTATCGCCGTTGTGAAACAAAAACGCCTTCGGTGGAGCTCCCTATGGTGGCA